TTACAGTGCGTTTAACTTAAATTATTTTTGACCATAAAACGTTCTGTATTTAATATTGCTTTTATAATATTGAGAGTTTTATTGTTTTTTTCATTCTAGTAGCGTATTTATACCAAAAAGGTTGGTGTTCATTGAGCTTGGGATCTAATAACCATGAATGAACCAGCGTCGGCTTCACACATAAATCGTTTCACACGCAACAGACCTTTGATATATATTGCGTGTGTATTTACCTAACATAGCACATCTATTTAAATTAATAAAGAGTTTATTCTGATTGTTCTCGATGATACAAAAGATTTATAAAAGAACTGTTCACAAGAAATAAGTTGGAATAGAGCACCATCATAATACACCTACGTTCATATTGCTACTGGAAAAGGACAAAATGAAACAACGTTTATAATTTTGATACGATAAAAGTAAAGCAACCTTTCACGAATAATCTTCGATATAATGTGCATCTACATTTTATACTAAAAGGTGGAAAACGAGCAAGCGGCCACCTGGATCCGCCGAAATGGCGCAGCGACCGATGCCCATAGACATCCGCAATTGCAGTTGCGTTGACTACGCTTAATCGACGCAGGAGTAGGCGCACAAAAAGACGATATTTTCCCTTCTTGTGCACCTCCTCCACCGTAGAATCGACTTTTCCTTCCCATTCTTGCCTCTTAAGAAAAGGGTGGAAAGAGAAAGGGACTAAAATTAAGCCTCCGGGGGACTAAAAATGATTACATACTCGTAATAGTTCTTATTGCATCATCCGATATTCTCGGCTGATTTAACCATTTACAGTCGTTGCACATCGAATCAATGACCCGCACTAAGCTGAAATCTTAGTCACTCTAATGGCATGTGATTGAAAAACTCTGTGTATTTCCGCTTCATCTAAATAGCGATTTTGATTGTTTCAATCCATATGGACAATTCACAGATATTCTATTGACCGAGGAAACCATTTTAGTCAAATGTTGGCAGTAAAACTATTATGTGTAATTATAATAAAAGTTTTATTAAAGGATCCGTTTATAGAAAATCGTTGGAACCAAAATAATCGATTATAAAAGTTACCGTACAAAAAAAAAATTAAAACATCAAAGGAAGCATTCGTTTTAGTAAATATTTCCATTTCGATGTTAAATGCCGTTTGATTATCGACACGTACAGGATTCAAAAGATTGAATTGGATTGTAAACCAAATATTCATACTTTTAAGTAAGTATTCATTAACTAAAGAACGTTTACACGCTTGGAAGGCAGGCGATGAGGTAAGGTCTAGGGAGAGCCAACAATATGTTACATGGTCTTATTTTTTGTAGATTTTACATCTTTTTCACATTTTTGAAATCTATAGTGGGGTAGTAAAACCCAGGTGTTGGACATTCATATTTTAATTGATGCGCCAATAACCTAATGATCAAAGTAAGGACATATTATTACGTAGTTGGAGTTCATTCCATTCGACTATTGTCATGACGTTAACGTCTGAATAATGGCAGTAGACTAAGGTTAAACTTTTGATCATTTATACATCTGTAGTACTATTTCAATAGATATGTGTTGGACTTCCCAAGACGTTAAGGCGTTACAAAACAAACAAACTCTGCCACGATTCACCGGCTTAGTGCTAATTCCCTTTGGCGATTCAAGCACAATACGCGGAAGGCAACCGCGTATTGTATTTGTAATAAACTCAATTTTATTTAGTTATAACATATGATTTCTCACTTTGTAATTATTTTCAAGTAAGCAAAAATAGGGCTGTTCCAACACACAATCCACGACGAAAAAATCTATTTAAGATCATAAACGACTTAAGAAAAGTTTAGTATGCGATACTACTTAATTTCAGACTAAATTCTAGTTATTATGAAGGATTGTTTTAACAAACTTGGACCAGTCACGTATATTTCGTTTTAATTATAACAGAAGTGAATTTAAACTCTCCAGTCGTCTGCAAGATTAATAACAAAACTGCGACAAAACTGACTTGTTGTATAACGTAATGAGTTAGGGTGTCGTGTTTCTAAATCTATACATATGCCAGTGTTTACAAAGTAGTGAAAGTACACTTGTATGTAGCTGTTAGACGACGCCGTATAATTGGGACATAAAGTTGTTCTAATCAGTCGGGTAATAAGGCGAACACGCGTCGCCGAGCGGCCGCGTAGGCGAACGTGGGCGTTCGTGTATTGTATAACGAAGTTCCACACATGTTTTAAATAACAATACAGGATTAAATAGGAATCAGAGAACTCTTAATTCTAGATCAGTTATCATTGAAATGATAATCTATATATTATTGCGCTAAGAAATCGTTGTGATCAATTATAACCAGCCATAATCATGGTTAATTCAACCCCCGAAACACTTACTCAAATACGATTATAACCTCCAAACGGATTTTCACTTTAGGCACGAATTAAACATTGGCCAATCTGGAACAATAGCAATATTCAAATTGTAACAAACAATCTATATCTATAACAAACATTATAAAGAAGAAAAAATTTTATTTTTATATGTATTGAAATGACGTCAAAACTACTAGGTAGATTTAAAAAATTCTTTCACCATTAAAAAGCTACGTTTTCATTGAGTAACATCTATGTTACTCAATGAAAACGTAGATGTTACTCAATGAAAACGTAAATAAAAGTGTCTACACTTTTTATTATTTTTAATTTGTCGCGACCGAAGTCTTGAGGAACGACTACTTTACTATACGATTGTACCTACCATAGTCATCAATTAAAATTAAAGAATCGCAAAACTGTTCCATGTCTATGAATGATACATGATGTTACCTTAAGACGCCTGTAAATCTGTACCACAGTACCATTAACTTTAACATACTGTAGATGAACATGAATAGAATGACACCTCACTCTGAAAAAGACATTGCAATTCAATTGACATACACACATTCATCTCTAAAACCTTGACGCTTCATTAAAAATTTCCTTAACTTACGTAAGTAGGACGTACAATTTAAAGGCGATGATACACCACGGAACCAAAGCCGTGACTAACGAGTGACTTGCAAAAGCTAAACTCGGTGCAATATTAGAGCAGAGCCGTGGGAACACAGCTCGGATGTGAGTTACAGCATAAAAATCCAGCTTTCTCGCCGGAGGAGGCTTCCGTTGGAGGAATCGGGTCGTAGATATGATCACAGATGGACGATAGGGTCCGCGAAACGAGCGACTGACTCACGCCTCATCCGAAGGTCGGAGGTACTATGTCGTAATTGTTACAGCCTTTAATGTACGTAGTCGTTAAACATCTTAACGACTCCTTTAAGCCGCTTTGGACAATGCCATCTCACAGAGACACCGTTATACAAACACGAATCTGATTAAGATGCTGACATCAATGTGCGACGTATAGTCCCCTGAACGACTTTGCCTTAACTGTTATTAAAACAACAATTTGTAGCTCAATTGTTTTTGGAAAATGGTTATTGAAGCCTTTTGGTTAAGAATAGATACTTCAAGCAATTCCGCTATAGTAAGTGCGTTTAGATCTTCTTTTAGGACAAAATAGAACTTACTCTCTACATACACCACGTCACAATTAGGGTCAAAATAACAAGGGAAATAAATAGTACATAATAAGAATCAAAACTATGAAAATTTAAATGTTCTTTACTGTTGCAAAACTTACAATTAAATTTTGAATAAAATCTCTGTACAGTGAACTGATTTTACTTTTTTTATTTCTTTTTCTATTTTTGTTTTTGATTTTTGATTGATCAACTGTCTATAGTATTCTTGTCTGGAACGATTTAATTTACTTTATTCAATTGTATATTAGTAGTAAGTATCAAGAATCGATCGAGTAATGTTTTGCGATGTATCACGATTTGTTTTCGATTGTTTATAGACGAAGCCGGTCTGGCGATGACTAACGCCGCGCCGTCTGCCACCGCGTTACACTCGGACCGGTTCTCAACATCGATACACTTGTTCCGAAATGTATTTATACCTTTTAATTTATTGTCATACGCGATCGGGATTTTTAATTCAAGGTTCCAGTCTTTGTTTTTCATCAATAACTCAATTTTAAATGGCGTATAGTGCAGCTTTTTGTTATTTGACAAATATTTCTATACTGTCGATGTGTAAAAACTTGAGACTTGGGTTTAACTCAAATTCATTCTAACTGGCGGTCCACTGACATCAACAAGGGGGTTTGAATTATTTCAAATGAAACAAATAATCATTATTCAATATTTAATATACTTCGTCTAGAATGTAAATGGATACATACGTACATAATTGTAACAATGAAAAAAAATATGAAATTTTATACAACTAAAACATTATATTAAAAAAATATGGCTACACGACAGATTATTCTGTCCATTATTGGCACTTGGAATGTTTTCTTCCTTCGACTCTAAATTTTAAATGAATAATTATTAAAGCATATAATATTAAGCAAGTTACGTATATCGAGTCTTATATGACAATTCATATATAAATATGTTTATATATCATGTATAAAGACACATAAGTAATACTTTACCGTATTTCGCAAACAAAACGAAATAATAAAGCATATTTTCTTATCATATTTTATTAATTTAATCTAAAATAAATCATTGAAAGTATATACTAAACTGTATTGTGGAATGTCTTATTTTGGTGTATACATACAAGTGTATATGCGTACTGTTAAAAATTATGATATCTTAGTATTCGAATTCAGAGTTTTACAGATGAAATTCAGAATGTAACACATCAAATTCTTATGGAAGCTAGCGATTTGATGTTCAAAATGTGGAATTTAAAATGCAAAAGTCTGAATTTAATTTAAGTTACGAATTTTTAGTTTAAAATATATTTCATAAACGACAAAACATGCTTATCGAAATTCTCTTTCTAAGAGCGCGCGCAACTGAATCTATACTATCTCAATACTGTTTAGTCACGCTTTGATTCCTATGAGGTTATATGGAGGTGCGCAGAGTATTTTTATTTGTGTAACTAAACAGTTGAATTGGCGTTAAACAATCGACAATCGCACAACAATTGTGCGATAGTTTATTCAAAAGTGTGCGCCCGCTCCATATATTATCAGCAATTTCGAACATTGTATAACCGTCAATTGTTTTTCTATTTAAAATTGACAAACATAAATTATGTAACGGTCTATTGAATTCCAAAACATTGAAAATTAAATGACATTTTAAACTATTAATTACAAAATTAAAAAGATAATTTCAATGAACATATGTTTAAAAAATAATATTTTAAACATGGAATGAGAATAAAAAGTATTAATGCAATATTGTATGTACGTTGCACGTATCAAAGCTTATAATAATTATAACAATATTTTAAATATTTTATAAATATTATATTACATTATAAAATAGCTAAGCGGTTAAATGTTTAAATGCTACCGTCGCTTACTCTAATAAATACTATTTACAAAATCACCAGAATGTGTTTTACATTGAAATGGATAAGTACCGATTACAAATCTCGATGTTTGATTTCATATATTTCCAGATACCGTTTTTTTTTTTCAACTAACTTAATATAAAGAAATTTATTGTTCTTTATAGTTTTAGAATATTAAAGTGTTTCTAACATGCTAAAGCACACCAAAGTACAGTCATGTGCATATTTAAAAACCGTTAAAATGTTCTTTATTTGTTTTGATTTAAAAATTGGTGTCTTGGTTATTTATAGCTCGAATTTGGTATCTGAAAGTATAACATCTTTGATAGTGAAGTGTTGGTGTTACAATAATTGCAATTTCCCATTCTGGCGGTGTTAATGAAGGCACGAATACTGTAGTGTAAAATGTTGAATTAAGTGATGTGTGACGTCATAGCTTTAGTGATGTCATCACCACCTACACGTAGTCTCATTTGTTGGATTGATGTGTTTCTCTGCAAAGAAGAATTGTTAATTAATATCAAATAAAAAAAATATGTCATTGGTTTTACATTGCTTGTAGGGCGTTTAAAGGCGCGATTTCTCGAGACGTTGCAGATGGCAAATGGCAGCTCTAGGTGTCATCTACATGTACCGCAACGACAGACTGCATTAATTTGTTTTAATTTGTATGATTCCGATATCGTCCAGCGTTTAACCGTTTGCCGCATCGCGTGAAATCGTTCCTTGAATTGCACGATCTATTTTTTGCGTTGTAGTGTTGACCCTGACTACATATCGATATTTTTATAGAGTAAATTTATAAAAGGATTCTTACTGCATGATGTTAGAGAGACCGCTGTTGTTGGATCGTGCAAACTTCATCACCTTCACCGCCACAAGCATTGACTACATCTATAACAATTGAGAAACACATATTACCATCAAGTCATAATAAACCTTATCTTAAATGTATCCCTAATTACATATGAGTACATAAAAAAACAATAAACAATATCATTCTGGAACAATAACCATATAAAGAAAATTAAACATAATGCAAGGAGCACATAACAATCGTGAGTATTCTCTTCGTATTAAAGAGATTCCGGATTCTGACACAAATAACTCACGAGCCAATTTGTTACAACACAGTGAGTTCACGGTAGCTTCGAACATTTAACAGAGAATAAACTGCATAATTTGCTTAAAGCGATTTCATTTTATTTCCTTAAATAAATCACACACTTTAATTATAATTGCTTTTGATTAAGGTTTGCATTGATTCTAAAAAAAAATATTAGAAATTAGTAAAACAACCAACCACAAACAAAAGAACAACAAAATTTTTTTTAAGACAACCGTTATAAGACATATGGTACTGTCACGCTAGAACCCGTAAACGAAACACAATGCTATTAATTTTCTTAGAGATTACAGTTAAAACGTCCGTTAGAATGCCAACAACGAGATAAACCCCGACAAAGGTAAAGCAACATAACAGTGTGATCTTCAAAAATCCCTTATTTATTAAAAATTACTTTTAAAAGGATTAACACGGTCTAAAAGTTACCAAATCATCTGCTAGTATACAAACAACTTATTAATTTTCTTTAAAAATTCAACAGATTAAAATCTTAAATCTTGGACTTAGAAACGAAACTTGGCTGTAAGAATAGTAATCCTTTGCCTTTACCTCCAAGAAAAAAATTAAAAAGTTAAAGTGTCAAATGGAACATCTCAATATTATTTTTAAATTTCAATTTTAAATGTCTCAATTGTCAAAATTATTCACAATCGTGATGAACATATTAACTTGGTTATATGCTTGTATTTTTTTTAATCATGTCATTGATAAAGGACGGTTGGCAGTGTTAATACATTAATGATGTCGTATTAATTAGGAAAATGTTCGATGTGTCGCACTGCATAATAGGGAAAGGTGCCTTTTAAATGGCAAAGATGTACAAACGGCATTTAGAAATATCTTTGCTAAATAATGATGTTGCTTACAATGCGAGTTTAGAGCGCACAACTTATAGTCAACTTTGGCATCTAATATTTGCATTGTAATAATGAATTAAAGTCACTTTGTATTTCACTAAGACATACGCGACAAAAAAAATTAAAAAAAAATGGTTGTGTTTATATTTAGAGTCCTGTGTTCCTAAAATTACTAAAATTAATAGTTAATCAACAAATATTAGTGGAATTTAAATTGAATGTATTTTAGCGTGTAAGTGAAAAATCTTCCAAGATACTCTATATCAGTCTTTTAAAAACAATTGTTTGTCAAAGTATAAATGTTATAAAGTCAATACCTGATTACCAAATTCAAAACAAAACCAATGTACGCAATAATGTATGCACCTTTATGAAAGAAACTTTTTACTTTTAAAACTCCCCGCCGTTATACAAATTTCGATAGCATTTCGATCTGGTTCGTGCGCAAGAAGATTTTGCCACGGCGATGCAGTTTAAAGGTTGTAGGTGACAGCGGCGGCATTTATCCACTTCCGTGGAACAAGACTGGGTTACTTCGTGAGCACACACCCCGTATGTGCGACTGTGGGAACAGAACTCTTTGTTTCTGTATACAGGATGTTCTATTTTACATAGCATAATATCGATTAACGACTAAAACTACCTTTACCTAAGCCTACGTCACATACACAACAACGAACCTATACATTTAAAGGTTCAAAATAATTTATTTTTACATATGTTAAAAAAAAAGAAAATATAGAACATCTTTTAGCTTGTTGTCAATATCGTCTTCATCTTATTTTTTTTATAAAACACTATTACCACATAGGACGTAAGCTTAGTCGTCACTTAATGCTTTATCGAAGTAATTGATAAATCTAAAAATAAAGGTGTGGTATCAACATTTTCGTAATCTCTAAACATACTGTACATGGAACAAGATTTCTCAAGCCTAATTAACGGCGTTCGCCACCTCGGTCGCGATGCGCGAACAATTGTGTACGAGGAGTGTTCTAATGCGCTATTATATCGATTCGCAAAGTCCTTAGTCTATTTAAAAACACCTCGCTTCCCCGATACCTTTCCTACACATACTTTTATTTAACAAAAAATCTACAACTTGAATTGAATATTTCTTATCGTTTTGAAAACTCGATAACTTACAAATATAACACGGCAAAATTCCATAAAGTAAACTTCGGTGTAACAGTTTCTGAACGCCACAAACAGTTACACTGGCAGACTTGGTTTTGTTCTCACATAAAACAATTGGAGGAATAAAATCGATATCTACGAGTCGATTCTCGCGCGAATCGTGAATCGAAAGGATCGACCTATCGGCGACACGGCGATGTGCAAGCGATAGGGCACCGCGGCCTGCGCCGATGACCCACTGCGCTAACTTAATGGTACATCGCACTCTCGATTCCGTTTTGATTCATTAACTTCGCTTCCCGCTTTTGTTGTACGTATTTAGACAGTGGGAAAACCGTAATCGATTTAGATAAACTCAAGTTCGTTGTTCACCTAAAACGGTGGAATACAATTGCATTCCGATGCGAGTCCAAAAACAAAATCTTCACAAGTCGTTAGAACGATTTATGTCTTTTAATTAGACCAATATTCAGTATAACATACAAGCGGATTTTTCGTCGAATGAACATATATTTACAGTAGTCGCTGTCATGGAAAAGTAATAAAATCTCTTACGGAACACGATGCAAAATAAGGGGTAGTGTAAAACTTCGTGTGAATCGCACGTCACCAGTCGCGACGTGAGCGCCCCTGGCGGCAGATACCGCTACCGATCATTTTGTTAAGTACACATATGTGGTCGTTCACCGTTTACAATGACTTACAAATCTACTAGTATAAACTTTTTTTGGATAAAATCTTATTTCAATTTTTAAATTACCAATGCTCATTTCTTATCTTCAATTTTAATTATTAACTACCTAATAAAGTTTACTAACGAACTGACTTTGAACTCGTAAAGATAATTTTTATATTAGCTTTTGGGACTAAATCAAAAACCCTAAAAATAAACGTTCATACAAAGATATCTCATTAAAATGATGGACCTTTAAATTTCAAAGTTGACATGATCGTTTGATGTTCACTTTACTTATCTCTGAACATTTTTTGCACAGAGTATTTTCCTTGATAGTTTTATGATAATATTAAATTTGCATTTAAATTCAAATCTTCTTGCATCTCGTAAAACGACAAATAAAACTAACGAACACATCATTTGATCCACCAATCGATCATCTTTTAAATGCTACGAACATTTGCATCTTCAAATGGATTTAGAATCGGATATTATTTTATGAGATTATCAATAGCAAGATTTTAAGAAGATTTCATTAGAAAAGGTACACTCTGTCGTTTTTTATTTAATTAAATCTTACCAGCAGCCAATGAGATTGTTTTATTTTATATTTTTTTCGTATAAGTAATTTTCTATAAAAAGTTGTTTCAAAAATTTTTAAGTCACCTCTGAAAACTTTCTTACACATTGCAATATCTGGAGAGGTTAAGTGTAGTGCACACTGTTTTTCCGCATACGTGCTAGGGTTGTCAACAAGCAAGTTAACCCCATATTGTGATTTTATTTCTCTTTGTAAAAATTACCTTAACGTTATGTTACTTATGTTCAATTTTGTCTCTGTTTGCCTAGAAGAGGCATTTACAACACCACCGGGTTGAGGTTATCTAATATCATCTTGACCTGACATGAAAACTGATTGTAATTTGACGTCTACATGTTAATACTCGTCCTTTCATGAGTTATTAAAATATTTATATTAACTAGTACGGAATGAAAAGTGGCCTAACAACCCTAAGTGGTCGGGATCATAACCTGCAAATTATACCGCGGCGGTCACGTGTGGTTCAGTCCCGCAGCCTCGCGGTCTCGCGGGCTACCGTCCACGTTCGCACAGTTTCGGAAGCATTAGGGCCCATTAGGCACCGTTAACACGGGGCCGCGTCACGAGCGCACGACTCGCGCGTGAGCGATCTATCGCCCATCTCTCGGTAGCCCGGATGCGGTCTTTCACACGGAACCTTTTGTCGGAACATGTTACGCGTGTAACCTACCCATCCCCTCATTCCCCTGACTCTCTGTTCCATGATACTCTTAAGTCCTCCAAGGAAAGGAGGACTGGCTTTGTGATGCAACTACATAATAGATCCTGTTGCAATAACAAGACAACCTTTAAGTCTTATGATTTATTAATCTTAGTTTTAAAATAACTTTAAGCATTACCAACGTTATATAAAATTATGTTTACACTAACTAATAAGCATTTAGTTTATATCAGCTCCTGCTTAGGTTGTTTTACTGTTCATTATGACTAAGTCGTGACTTTAAATTGAAGTGATGTTCACTTAGTGCTTAAAGCTGAACTTATAATTTATCATAGCTACATTGTACTTATATCTTATTTAACATTTGCTAAAATAAAATTTGCTTAATACTGATATATCAAATTGTCATTCTAGGGGTTTTAGATTATTAGGCAACTTCTTTACTGCAAGTATTATCGCAAACATTAAAGGATTTATTTATATCTTAAGACATTCTAAAGATGAATAACGTTATTTTCCTGATGTGGTAGATTTTTTAATATTTAAATACTCAAAAACACACACGTAAATAATTAAATGTATACTGCAGTTAAGTTCGTGACCCGTACAATTGTGAAGTCTCTATTGCTTGCCGTAAACAGACCGAGCAAAAAAGCATTGAAGATGTACAAATATGGTTCGTGTTGACTTCATGTTCACGACGCGACATCCGCGACATCTATACTCCAAGTCGCCCATATTATAGAAAGTTTCGTAATTTATTATGCTAGTTTAACACGACAGCACAGAGTAGGATTATTGTCAAAAAAGTACTGTGTTCGAATGGTAGCAATACTGCATTATCTAGTAGCCTCACTGTACTACCCTCGTGTGAAACTAGCATTACTCAGATGATATTTGCATGAGTGACAAGGAGACACGTCGCTACTAATACATTGTATGGTAATTAGGTTAAAATAAATTGATGCAGGAATGTGAGAAAAGGAAGATGTTGTTTTCGTTAACTTTTTAATTAGACCATGTTTTCTCATGATTAAAGGTATTATGGATTATCTCGTTAGTACTCAATAAAAATGCGTTTCTAGTATTCACAACCAAAATATCAGTAGCTTTGTTTATTTTTTTATTTATCATTAACTATAAAAGTCCATTTACAATAAACGATTTGACATTTATTAATTTATTTAATTTATTTATTTAAATCAGGTAAGTTAAAAAAGTTAAAGTATGTAATTAAACCGTGGAGCAATTAAGCTTGCAGTTTTTACGGGCAATTTTTAACGTCGACGGTAATCGAGGAGATGTGTTTGACAATAAATTGCGCGATCTAAGACCTCAATATAGATAAGAGAATGAACGTGGTCGGATTTTATTACACACATCGCTTAATAACAGCTCAATTATTAAATATCGCTGGGATTTGATGTCTGAGACATAAGCACACAACATAATATAACTCCCGCATTATCAACAGAGAATTTCAATACCACATTTAAAAAAATTAGAATAGATCCAGTCTCTGAGAGGGGCCCTTAATGTACATTTACTCCACACAAAATGACCTTAAAACCCCTCAGAATACGATTTTTGATCATTATAAAGCTTAAAGATAAAAAATTGAATGTAAACTATTCTGGACCTCCTGAATACGAAGTAGTTACTTAGGAGTCTAATGAGTTAATTCAATTTAATTGCTATTGCTTGTTGCTTTTCCTTCTTTCTTGTACGTAAAATAACTATGTTTGATTAAAACAGCCGTCACAAAATTCTATTTCATAGATTTCAGACGAAAAATCTAACATTGTTTTCTTATCATATAACAATGTACATTGAACCGATATAGAGCTAGTTTATTGCGTATCCCTTGCGGTCGCAACACTGTAACAGTAGGAGCTGATGATTAACTGCCTCGGAGCGTCACAGCCGAGTGCTCCCGAGATCGGCGAGACCCTAATGCAAGCTGTCAGCTCGCCGCGGCCTTGTCAATATCGGCTGTTACACTAACCGCAATATAGGTCGCCTTATTGCTCTACTGCTATCAACTAGCTAATTAATATGGTATTTAGGTAGTCTATTTATATTTCAGTAATAATATAAACTAGCAATTTAAAAAATAAACTGACTGGAAACTATTGCACTACCAAGGAAAGTATAAAGGGGTCAACGAAGCAGAAACATAGTTCATCAATTGAAATAAAACAGTGTGTTAGATGAATAAGGGAATGACAAAGTTAAAACGATCAGAATTCGAGTCGAATTCAATCTTCATGCGCGCTACATCATGTGGTACATTGTATACTCAATTCATTTACACTCGACTGTACTGAGTAATCACGAGAAAAAGATTTATAAAGACCTTAATTGCTTTGTTGATTAAAGATTATTTTGAATTGCAAACATCAACATCTTGAAAGTATTTTTACAATCGTGTTCATCGTAAAAAAACTTTATGGCCAAAAATTACTTATTCACGATGCAGTCGAATACCGCAAACATTCAAACAATTAAAAATAAAAAAGTTCCGTCTAAGGTCACCTTTACAATAGTTTTATTGGCGAATCGCTTAAACACTTAAACAGTAGAACGCGAAATATCTGAACATCATGAAAGTTCTCGTCCTATGCAAAGATTTCTTAATGTTAAAACCAGAAATCAATATTGCCTATCAGAAAGACATCTCGTTTGAAAACTTCAATGTCGACAAATTCATTCATAAAATCATAATAACGGAATACACACCCAAGACGACTTTGCCCTTATGTAATGTAGGTTACATTACGTTAAGTATAGGTCTTTTCAAATACCTTTGCGGCTCAATCACCACATTACACCTATCATTGTGATCATAGGTTGATCTGAGCCACCAAGATATTTGACAACCTTTATACATGTGAAGTGTAGTCTCACCTGTGTTGACGCAAGTTATCCTGCCGCTTGAAACTTTTCCCACAGACCTCGCAGCTGAAGTTCAGCTCCGGGCTCTTATGGGTGCGCTCGTGTATCATCAAGTTGTAAGACTTGGTGAATCTGCGCTGGCAGTACTTGCAAACGAATTCGCACTTGGGGCGCAGTTTACGCCTAAAGTCCCGTGTATGATCCTCGTCGATTTGCATCACGGCGAACATTTTGTATGGTCTATGGTGCTTGCGCGACGTGCAGGGCTTGGAAGCCTGTGGAAAGAAACACATGTTAATTGCTTAATCAATTTTGTACTCTATCACAACGAGTTAAGGTAGGAAATCAAATGTGGGTTCGTGGAACAATAATGAAAGATTTTAATACATTTGTACTTAATTTGATTTAAGACATTGTTGGAAATAACTTAATAGGATGTACTAATAAGTCTTAGATTGTCTCGTAAGATTAGCCAGTTAGACGACTTAAGACTTCTAAGCTCTTAAATTCGTATACGAAAGTTGCCAAACTGGGGTAAATTCCATTTATGTTAATCTATGTTGTAGGCATATAAATTTATATTGTAATTTCACACTAAATAACTAACGCTACTATTGTTTGCGTAATAAATTTTAACATATTAAAAAAGTAACAAACTAAGATGCGTGTAAATAGACATTATTACATCAATTACTATAAAGCTGCTTAATAACGTAGTTGCACCGAGTGTTTATGTAAATTTCCATCGATAATTTCACGATTATAGAAGCTCTTTGACGCATAATTAACATGTAGCGAGTTATTTAATATCATTATCAAATACGCACCTTCGACGCGTCGATTACCACAGATATAATCGACCCTAAAGCGGCGGTCACACCTACCTAAGACACTTTCACTTTAATTTATTACTAACACTGACATTTGAAAGGCGTACCTAAAACTACAGAGTTAAAGATTTTGGAAGTGTCACTTTGATGGTATAAAAAGGAGTATGGAATTAGAGCGACTAGATGTGTCAGTGCACGTGCGATCGGGAGCGGGTGCGTTTGGCAACTGCGCCGGCGAGAGGGTGGTGAAACTACTGATAACGTTACGCGGAAGGCGCGTAGCCCCCACCACCTGCACGAGTGAATGAACAGGTAGCGGACGGTAGGCCCGCGTCTGCGCCAGCGACCGCGCTGGGAAAATGCGAAATACGTTCATGTAGTGACGTCACTGATCACTAAACTGCACCGACGAAGCAAATTAATCGCCATCGAATAGACATCGACTATTCTAATATAAATTTGTTACGAAATACCGTTACATTAATTAATAGTTTAATTTAGTTAACCACTGCAATGTTTTAATACTTCGAAATTGTTAATTACATTTAATTAGAACAAGCAAAATCATCGACAGTACTCGTTAATTTTCTTTCCTATAAACGGAACCACTTCAGTACGTTACATGCGTACAATCTATGTAGTATATTAAAATTTAAATAATCACCATAACCAAAAGAAAAAATCTCGTAACTAAGTAGCTGACATAAGCTATTATGACCGAATGCGTTGAATAATTCGCAATACCGTTTAAAAAGTACTTATAGAAATTATCCTGCATATGATACAGTATTGAGTACCGATGGGAAAGGTCCCGGTTGCTCGCGGCGCCGGCGGCAAATTTCACTCACGATCTCCCGACCCTCGGTGATTTGGGCACAGGCGAGCGGTAATTTGGTCATTGTTTTGCGGCTTCTGTTACCACATACCCTGAGGCGAATGATTAAATTTCACATTTTATATATGCCGTTATTACGATAAATGAAATTAAAAAATAAAGAAAAAATAATTGAATTGAAAGAAAATATCCTGTATTAGTGATTAGCCACTAATTAGTGGTAACAATTCTATAAAAAAATGATGGTTTACTTTGTGCATATTTACAACGATAAAAACATTCCTTTACACTCTCGCGTGGACAACCAAGATTTAATATAAATCAACCCTATAAGTTAAAACTCTTGTAAAAAAAATCTGTTCCTTAAAATGTATGTAAAATTTTTTTTAAAGTACAGAATTTTATAACATTTATATCACATGGTATTGTTCTGAATCTATCCGACGATAAGATTTATTAACTAAGAAACATCACGACCTGACCGAGAGGTTGTCAAAGAAGCACAATCTTTTATAATCTGTGGTACATTTCGGGTACCTTTATGGTAACAAAGGCAGCGAATGTATTGAGATGTATTGATATGAGGCGGTCTTTATTAACTCCTCATATGGTATTACAAGACGTAGTACAATGCGAAGGAATTTGCACAAACCGAAAAAGATTAAATTTATTTTTATTTCGATAAGTCTGTCACAATTATGTCAGTTTCTGACGTCGTTGTTTTACACGAGGGCAGAAAAGTATTTTTTTAACAGTAAGAACGCTTTCAAACAATAGCAATACCGTGGTATTTTGCAATTCCTCAATGTTGCCTTCATGTGAAACAGGTATTCACTAGGTTTATTTTTTTTTTAATAGCGTTGGCAATAAAAATACGCGGCCAGACACAATACGACAAGAGTGCGACAACTAGCGTATTTAAATCAATATTGTGGGAAAGATTAAGAATCATAGTTTTTTGTCAAAGCTATTATCTTAATTCACAATCGTTTAAAAAAGCTAAACTTCCCACCAGTCATCTAAGATTACCTTCGAATATGTAAATAAATAAATACCAATAAAATATTTTCGCATGAGATTTAATAAAGATAAAAAACATTATGGCATTTTTGTTATAATTAAAGATGAGAAATATATTAATACAAATATGTTTTATAGATTATAGAAACGTCGTTAATTTAGGTTATTTTATAACCTTTTAATTGTGAAAAATAAATTAATAAATCGTTAACTGAGTAAACTTTATTTTTTTAATTTTATTTTTCTAGTTTAAAATTTAAAACTAGCACTTTAGTTGTAATAAAAATTTTACGTTCAATCAATAAACGATGACAATAAAATTATAATATTTCTAATTTTTATGTATTATAGTTTTAATGCTTTCCTGATTTTTTTATTTAATTTTTATTACAAATTAAACTTAACAATATCTTCGAAAATTAAGATTAAGGTTATTAAAAAGTCACATCTATTAAATTAATATTTATATTCAACAATTATAATTTTTATTATAAACGCGTACGTTATTAATAAATAATTTACAATCTTTCCTGCACAGATAATATCTCCGCTCTATGGTTTATGAAAATTAGTCTAAAAATTAAATGCGGATCTTCACATGAGTCAGATCCCACGATCTTTGTGACGAGCGACACATGAATCATTTTGAACCGTGATTTGAACTATTGACAATTCATAGAACAATGGATCATGTTCACTTATGACCTAAAAGACCGAGTTTTTGAGAAACTGTTGTTCATTAAAAAAACTTCGAATTTCATACGTATTACAATCACTTGTAATACGTATGAAATTCTGGGGAACACTAATCGAATGACATTACACTCTACAAATCGGTCAAACTTATTCATATTTTAATATTCTATAGCGTCAACCTATACTCCAATAACTGGAATGTAAAAACTAACTTGCATATGTCACTTTAGTGGGACAAAATATAGTGCGTCAAACTCATAATTATTCGATAGAAAATCTTTTTCCGTGTAAAGAATTTTAAAGAACGCATAATCTATTAATTGCCTTTTAATTTAAATATTGATTATCTGTTTGCATTATTTAAAACGTCTGAGAACATTAAGAATTTCGATATAGTTCTAATAGGTGTTAAAAAAGTTACGACCCAAGCTATATTTAGTTTAAAACGTTTCCCGCTATCCTGAGATAATGTCAAGGACGACAAGATATCTCAGAACATCCTATAGTAAAATTAAATGACTGAACCATTACGTATACAGTCTTCAGACAAGTATCCTATCAATAATTCTACGAGCACGCCATAATAGCAAGAGTTCTGTGACGTCACAGTGGCACACTTTTATAGTATTCTTATGCAATGTGAAAGTTTTTTTTCAATGTCCCAACAGATCATTCAATTACACCTAAGTCTTTTTACGTGGGCGTGAACCAAACGAAGGGCGGAAACATCGAGGTACTCAATCGAGGTCCATGGACATCGGTAACACCAGAATTACAGATGCCTTGCTGCCTTTAAGAAATACGCTTCTTAAAGGACCCTAAGCCATACTTGTTTGGGGATATTAAATTCATGTTTCTGTATTCATATTTTCGTAATAATGTTATTACGACAAACATTTACGAGACTCGACAAAATGTTTATCGTACAATAAAATTCAACAGTTATGATGCGTCATTGGAGGTGAGAATGTTTGCGGTTACGGTGTTTTAAAACTTCTGACTCAAGTGACAGTAATTAACCACCCAGTGAAAGGAATGTCGGATACATCGAAATAATGTTGCCAAATATTCACGAAAAACATCCGTACAAAAATGAAGGACTCTAATTTTTGGCACATCCTTAATGTCGTATCACATTGCATCTTAATGTAAATACTCTAAATATCGGTTTTGTTTATTAAAAGAACAATCTGTTTGCATCGGTTACATACATAGGGCTGAGAGTTTATTCGTTCATTCCGCCTCATTAAGAACATTGTAGTGAATCTCGCACATTGATAATCTCGAGAGCCTCTCTCGCCGGGACCTCTTAATGACCACAAAAACTTGCCACTTCGAACTTAATTACGCAAAATTCCACAAACGAATAAGCAAATGGTACTACTAAAACCAAATTGTTATTCGATTGTTTGCAACATTGTTAACGCAGCGACTTTTTATCTATCAATAAACTATACGCTCATCATTTCGCGCATTACACGCGCTCGTTTGGAACACTGTTGTTTTAAAGCGGCAATGGACTGCGAGCGAATGGGAGTCTACGTTCAAGTTGAATTGGTTGTAAAACAGAACTATATAATACGGTTGCAAAATTTTTTATGTTGAACTATTGATAGGGAGATGAAATGGCAGCAGTAAAGTAAGCTTTTAATTCCTGATATAAAGGATAACAACTTTTAACGATAAAATAAAGTTAAAAGTGAGAATAGCTGGGGTTATTCCCTTGATGTTTAAATTATAGGGTCTCGTTTTTTAGCGTTTAATTCTATTTATTTGAACTTAGAAAGATTTCATACCAACTTTAACTCATACGTACTTCTATGAGGACACATTACGATATCCCACGAAAAAATAAAGGTGGACTTTAGGCCGCGTTGAAGACTAAGCGTGTATA